TGGCGGCCATGATAAGAGCCGTTTGAATTCTCTAAAAGTTAAGGAAAGGTGGGTCAATGCTTCCTTTATAACCTCCTTTAGGATACACTGGACCATCCTTTAGGAAAGGAGATGAGATATGACGTCATCCGACCGTTCAGGAACATTAACGATGATCGTAAAGAGATAAAAGATAAGAGACATTTTTATCAGAGGATGTTTGATTCAACATATTTCATTCTCTTGTTTTGTGCTGCTGTACATTTGTATGTTTAAAACATTATGTGTAGGTTATATCTTACATTAATGTAACAATTCATTTCATCCAATCATATTGATGTTGATGTTGATTTCTGACTGGACAGGAAGCTGATGGTTTCACTTTTCTTACTTGTAGCCTGGTCGTCTATATTTCTTTTATTTCAGGATTATTTCACCGGTAAGAAGCACAGAAAGAGTTTTTTACATGATCTTTTTGTAGTTCATTATCTGAACATTGTAGTTTCAACACGGCAGACCCACGTCATTAACCTCCGCCGGCCCGTCACATTTAATGACGTGGCCTAGTGGAAATGTGGTCGGATTGTCAGAACGAGATCTCCTTTCCCTAAGTCCTTTATGACTTCTCCTAACATCTTTCCTTGACCTCATGACCTTTTCCCCGAGGTTAAGGTGAAGTGGATAGTGAAGGAGACAGGAGGGACAATTCAAACACACCCTCTGTGTGACGTGCACCTTTCATATTAACAGTCTGTGGTTCTAACTCTGAAGATCACACTTTCACCACATGGTGGCAGCAAAGAGGCAACATGAACACAACAAGAGGGCATTTTGTTCTCTAAATATTCTAAATCCAGGTGTTTTCGGTCGTTCAGCTCCTGGATCATCATTCAGACAGTTTCTCACGTTAAATTGTTCCAGTTGCTTCTTTTCCGTTTGTTTAAAAACCTGTAAATATTGAATCCGCGTTGTCTGTTTCCTGTTCTGTGTCTGCAGCATGGCGCTGCTGGGCTTCTGCACCCTCATGTGTCACAGAACAAACTGTTCCACCAACGAAGAAGACACTCTGCATCCTCCGAGCGGAGATCGTCTATTGTAAACAAGACGTCCCACACCGCTACAGCAGCTATGATCACACGAGACCTCAAACATGAAATGTTTATTTCAGTGTGTCGATGTGATCGTGTGTGTCTGAAGATTTAAAGTCACAAAGTGTGAACTCACTAAAGACTGTAGACGATGTGGACAGATGTTTGTTTACCGTCAGAATGTCAGAACTCTGGTTTGACTCTTGTGAGAAGGAAACATTTGACTTGTTGAGTGAGGCCTGACTGTTTTGTTTTTTTCTGGTGTCACGTGGCCTCTGAATGATCTTTTAAAGCACCTCGTACGCTCCTCTCAAATAAATGAATGGATGTGTCAGACGTCACTCACTCATGCCTTCCTCCCTCCAAAGGAGCTCTCTGTAGTGGACTTCAAAGGAACTCATTCAGCTCAATCAGATCAAGGTTTCAGACTCTGGCCGCTGATGGTGACGTCAACCTTAACCCTAAAACGTGCAGTTTAACCTCGACCAGGGATCAATAATGACCATAAATAACAGCATGAATTCAGTGATAATAACTAAACTGAGTGAATTAAAACAATTCAGTACAATAAATAAACATGAAGTGCTGAAATTCAAAATTTAAGGAGACATATTTTACACAAAAACTTTTTTATTAGTGTTTACAGACTAGAATATTTAAATCTTTATTAAAAACAGATCATAGATTTCAGTAAAACGTCTCAAATATGAACTTGATTGTGTTTCTGTGTTCAGGTTGGTCGCTCCTCTCGTCTGTCTGAGGGTCAAACTCCGCTCAGAAAAATCTTTAAACCACAATGCATGATGGGACAAGTTGCTTGGATAGTGAACGTGGCTGATTTAGAAACAACCTACTAGATACTCTGTTCTTTAGTAGTGTACAGTATGTACTGCATGCTACACACTGCAGTCTGACCTCTGACCTCCAGTCGTGGTTATTCTGCAGTACACCAAGCCCGGCTAAGCTTTCTGGTCAAAGTCAAAATATGCCAGACATACAGTGGAATCAAACTTGCGTTTGAATCCGTCCCGCGGTGCAAGACAACCAAAATAAAATAAAATAAAATAAAATAAAATACGGTAAAATAAGATAAATAATATTTACAGTAATAAATTCTAAACAGTCCAAAAGGTACAAAACAAAATGGTAAATAAAATAAAAAAAGTAAACTTGAAATGTGCAGTAAACTGAGTGTCTTGGAATGAGGAAGTAAACAACAGATCAGCTGAAGTGAAACTCTGCTACAGTAGGTGAGGGAGACGGGTCTGATGCACACTGTAGATGTTTCCTGAATCAGTACGACATCCGGGTATTTATAACAAACTTACATCTCACATTTGTTCACATATTGCATTTTGGACCAATCAGGATGAACTACTAGTGTAGTAGGAGGTTTGAATACAGCCCATCCGTTGTTGCACAAGACTTTTCTCAATGCATTGTGGGATGAATTCACACACTACAAAATTGACAGTTTTAATTTGATCATTTTAATTTGAGGGATTGTAATACTATATACATATAAATATGTACAGATTTGATCACTTCTGTCATTTTGTACGGCTGCATGAACTTGACAGTGATATTTCTGGTCCCTAGAAGCAGCAGCAGAGTGAGACCTCCTCGCTTCTGCTGCCTCTCTGCTCTTTGTTTTTAGGAAACGTGTCCTTACAGAGACTCCAGCAGCGTTTGTTGTAGATGAATGAGAAAGACACAGCTCCAGCTCTCCACTGAAGCCCGACTCTGAACAAACATGTCTGAGGCTGAACCGGTCTCGGTCCCGGAGGCCGCCGCCGCCGTCCTGGAAGCCCTGAACGCCACGGACTCGAACGGGACCGAGGCGCTCAACGCGACGGTTAAATTCGTGGCCACACCGGAGGGTACGGCGCTGGCTTACGGCGGCCTGGTGTTCATGGCGCTGCTGCCCATCTTCTTCGGAGCCATACGGTCCGTCAGCTGCTCTAAATCCAAGGTAACAGTCAGAGGAAGTCCCCCTGATCCCGGTAAACAAGGTTTCACTCCATCCACCGGTGTATCGGTGTTACGAGTCACCCTGTTTCCTGGTGTCTTCAGTGCGTTGTCGTAGTCCTCCATCCGAGTTCCTCTCCTTTAGTTTTAATATGATATATGTCTTAAACACACGGGGCCATTCTTCAGTTCAGCTTCTCACCCTCTTCCAGTTTAACAGACAAACCACAGACGCGTTCTGTTTACAGTCACCAGGTAACACGGTCACAACTTCGAGCACAACACCGGGTAGCTCCTTCAGCTAACGACGAGCTAACGGTTCTCCGGGTGATTCTCGACGGATTTTAAACACTGTAGATAATATGAGTGAAAGTTAACACCATTAATAAACACTTTAAACTAACATCTACACGTTTCTGTTTAATGGAACCTTTAACAGCTTTAGAAAGTAGCAAGAATTACGTCACAGCTGTTGGTAATGTAACCATTGTTTTCAGTTGAAAGTTAGCATTGAAGCTAGTTGTTGTTTATGTTTATGTTTGTTCTGCTGCTGGATGCTTTCTGTTGTTTACATTGTTTACCTGCTGTCAACCTTTGACCTGATCACGGACCGAGCCTGACGTCATACCGGGGGAAAGGTTCAAATCCAAACCGGAATAGAGTCAATAAGATCGGTTAGTACCAGCGTCACGGTGACGTGTACAAGAGGGCTTCGTTTGAACCCGGTTTGGGTTGTTGTGCACATGCGCAGTTCAATCGGCACTAGGTAACGGAACACGTTCCCACATCCTCCCTGCAGAGCGGAAGTGATGAAGATGAGTTCAGTTCAGTGATGAAGATGAGTTCAGTTCAGTGATGAAGATGAGTTCAGTGATGAAGATGAGTTCAGTGATGAAGATGAGTTCAGTGATGAAGATGAGCTCAGTTCAGTGATGAAGATGAGCTCAGTGATGAAGATGAGTTCAGTGATGAAGATGAGCTCAGTGATGAAGATGAGTGATGAAGATGAGTTCAGTGATGAAGATGAGTTCAGTTCAGTGATGAAGATGAGTTCAGTGATGAAGATGAGTTCAGTGATGAAGATGAGTTCAGTGATGAAGATGAGCTCAGTTCAGTGATGAAGATGAGCTCAGTGAGGTGATGAAGATGAGTTCAGTGATGAAGATGAGGTCAGTGAGTGATGAAGATGAGCTCAGTGAGGTGATGAAGATGAGCTCAGTGAGGTGATGAAGATGAGTTCAGTGATGAAGATGAGTTCAGTGAGGTGATGAAGATGAGTTCAGTGAGGTGATGAAGATGAGTTCAGTGATGAAGATGAGTTCAGTGATGAAGATGAGCTCAGTGATGAAGATGAGTTCAGTGAGGTGATGAAGATGAGTTCAGTGAGGTGATGAAGATGAGTTCAGTGATGAAGATGAGTTCAGTGATGAAGATGAGCTCAGTGAGGTGATGAAGATGAGTTCAGTGATGAAGATGAGTTCAGTGAGGTGATGAAGATGAGTTCAGTGAGGTGATGAAGATGAGTCAGTGATGAAGATGAGTTCAGTGATGAAGATGAGCTCAGTGAGGTGATGAAGATGAGTTCAGTGATGAAGATGAGTTCAGTGAGGTGATGAAGATGAGTTCAGTGATGAAGATGAGTTCAGTGAGGTGATGAAGATGAGTTCAGTGATGAAGATGAGTTCAGTGATGAAGATGAGTTCAGTGATGAAGATGAGTTCAGTGAGGTGATGAAGATGAGCTCAGTGATGAAGATGAGTTCAGTGAGGTGATGAAGATGAGCTCAGTGAGGTGATGAAGATGAGCTCAGTGAGGTGATGAAGATGAGTTCAGTGAGGTGATGAAGATGAGTTCAGTGATGAAGATGAGCTCAGCGAGGTGATGAAGATGAGCTCAGTGAGGTGATGAAGATGAGCTCAGTGATGAAGATGAGCTCAGTGAGGTGATGAAGATGAGTTCAGTTCAGTGATGAAGATGAGTTCAGTGATGAAGATGAGCTCAGTGATGAAGATGAGTTCAGTGAGGTGATGAAGATGAGCTCAGTGAGGTGATGAAGATGAGTTCAGTGAGGTGATGAAGATGAGCTCAGTGATGAAGATGAGCTCAGTGATGAAGATGAATTCAGTGATGAAGATGAGTTCAGTTCAGTGATGAAGATGAGTTCAGTGATGAAGATGAGCTCAGTGAGGTGATGAAGATGAGTTCAGTTCAGTGATGAAGATGAGTTCAGTGAGGTGATGAAGATGAGTTCAGTGATGAAGATGAGCTCAGTGAGGTGATGAAGATGAGTTCAGTGATGAAGATGAGTTCAGTGATGAAGATGAGTTCAGTTCAGTGATGAAGATGAGTTCAGTGATGAAGATGAGCTCAGTGAGGTGATGAAGATGAGCTCAGTGAGGTGATGAAGATGAGTTCAGTGATGAAGATGAGTTCAGTGAGGTGATGAAGATGAGTTCAGTGATGAAGATGAGTTCAGTGATGAAGATGAGCTCAGTGAGGTGATGAAGATGAGTTCAGTGATGAAGATGAGCTCAGTGAGGTGATGAAGATGAGTTCAGTGATGAAGATGAGCTCAGTGAGGTGATGAAGATGAGTTCAGTGATGAAGATGAGCTCAGTGAGGTGATGAAGATGAGTTCAGTGATGAAGATGAGTTCAGCAAGGTGATGAAGATGAGCTCAGTGAGGTGATGAAGATGAGTTCAGTGATGAAGATGAGCTCAGTGAGGTGATGAAGATGAGTTCAGTGATGAAGATGAGCTCAGTGAGGTGATGAAGATGAGTTCAGTGAGGTGATGAAGATGAGTTCAGTGATGAAGATGAGCTCAGTGAGGTGATGAAGATGAGCTCAGTGAGGTGATGAAGATGAGTTCAGTGATGAAGATGAGCTCAGTGAGGTGATAAAGATGAGCTCAGTGAGGTGATGAGCGTTTTTGCCTGAAGCAGTGGAGCCGTAACGGGTTAGAACAGGTGTGGTCTCAAGTCTAGTCTCAGGTGTAGTCTAGTTTCAAGTGGGGTCTCAGGTCTAGTCTCAGGTGTGGTATCAGGTGTGGTCTCAGGTGTGGTCTCAGGTGTAGTCTCAGGTTTGGTCTCAGGTCTGGTCTCAGGTCTGGTCTCAGGTGTGGTCTCAGGTGTAGTCTCAGGTTTGGTCTCAGGTCTAGTCTCAGGTGTCGTCTAGTTTCAGGTGTGGTCTCAGGTCTAGTCTCAGGTGTAGTCTAGTCTCAGGTTTGGTCTCAGGTCTAGTCTCAGGTCTAGTCTGAGGTGTGGTCTCAGGTGTAGTCTCAGGTGTAGTCTGGTCTCAGGTGTGGTCTCAGGTGTAGTCTCAGGTGTAGTCTAGTCTCAGGTTTGGTCTCAGGTCTAGTCTCAGGTGTAGTCTGGTCTCAGGTGTAGTCTAGTCTCAGGTCTAGTCTCAGGTGTAGGCTGATCTCAGGTGTAGTCTCAGGTGTAGTCTCAGGTGTAGTCTCAGGTGTGGTCTAGTTTCAGGTGTCGTCTAGTCTCATGTTTAGTCTCAGGTGTAGTCTCAGGTGTGGTCTAGTCTCAGGTGTGGTCTCAGGTGTAGTCTAGTCTCAGGTGTGGTCTCAGGTGTGGTCTCAGGTGTGGTCTCAGGTGTGGTCTCAGGTGTAGTCTCAGGTGTAGTCTAGTCTCAGGTGTAGTCTCAGGTGTAGTCTAGTCTCAGGTGTGGTCTCAGGTCTAGTCTCAGGTGTGGTCTCAGGTGTGGTCTCAGGTGTGGTCTCAGGTGTAGTCTAGTCTCAGGTTTGGTCGTAGGTGTGGTCTCAGGTGTAGTCTCAGGTGTAGTCTCAGGTTTGGTCTCAGGTCTAGTCTCAGGTGTGGTCTCAGGTCTAGTCTCAGGTGTAGTCTAGTCTCAGGTGTGGTCTCAGGTGTAGTCTCAGGTGTAGTCTCAGGTGTAGTCAAGTCTCAGGTTTGGTCTCAGGTCTAGTCTCAGGTGTGGTCTAGTTTCAGGTGTGGTCTCAGGTGTAGTCTAGTCTCAGGTGTGGTCTCAGGTGTAGTCTCAGGTGTAGTCTCAGGTGTAGTCAAGTCTCAGGTTTGGTCTCAGGTCTAGTCTTAGGTGTGGTCTCAGGTGTAGTCTGGTCTCAGGTGTAGTCTAGTCTCAGGTGTAGTCTCAGGTGTAGTCTAGTCTCAGGTGTGGTCTAGTCTCAGGTGTAGTCTAGTCTCAGGTGCGGTCTCAGGTGTGGTCTAGTCTCAGGTGTGGTCTAGTCTCAGGTGTAGTCTAGTCTCAGGTGTAGTCTGGTCTCAGGTGTAGTCTCAGGTGTAGTCTAGTCTCAGGTGTGGTCTAGTCTCAGGTGTAGTCTCAGGTGTCTCTCTCTCCTCCCTCCCTCTCCTCCCTCTCTCCTCCCTCTCTCTCCCCCCTCTCCTCTCTCCCTCCCTCTCCTCTCTCTCTCCCTCCCTCTCTCCTCCCTCTCTCTCCCCCCTCTCCTCTCTCCCTCCCTCTCCTCTCTCTCTCCCTCCCTCTCTCCTCCCTCTCTCTCCCCCCTCTCCTCTCTCCCTCCCTCTCCTCTCTCTCTGTCTCTCTCCTCCCTCTCTCCTCCCCCTCTCCTCTCTCCCTCCCTCTCTCTCCTTTCTCTCTCTTCTCTCTCCTCCCTCTCTCTTCTCTCTCCTCCCTCTCTCCTCTCTGTCTCTCTCTCTCCTCCCTCTCTCTTCTCTCTCCTCCCTCTCTCCTCTCTGTCTCTCTCTCTCCTCCCTCTCTCCTCTCTGTCTCTCTCTCTCTCTCTCTCCTCCCTCTCTGTCTCTCTCCTCCCTCTCCTCCTCCTTCGCTCCATTCCTCCTGCCTGCTTCCTGATTCATTTATAACATAAATATAAATATTAACCCTGTGATGATTTGTTTTGATTAGCTTCATGCTTCCAGTCTTCCTCTTTGCTGCTGATCTGATCCCGCCCTCTCTTTCTCTCTCCCTGTCTGTCTCTCGCCCTGTCTGTCTGTGCACACCTGTCTGTCCACCTGTCTGTCCACCTGTCTCTCTGTCCGTAGGAGCTTGGAGACAATGATTACGACTCTGGGTTCAGAGTGAGTATGAGAGCTGCTGTTTTATCAATGATGCTGTGTGAACTGAGAGTGACACACCTGCAGCACCTGCTCAGGTTTAACCAGCTCGCTGTTTACTTTAAGTCGCCCGACATTTTAACTTTTTTTTTACTTTGGTCTTCATGTCAGACGATGAAAAGCAAAATATTTAGATTTAAATTTGTCTGCTAAAATAAAAGAAAGAAATCTTCTAAAAATCGCACTATTTAGTGCAGAAACAAACATTTAATGTTTTTCCTACTTCCTCTGTCCTTACCTCTTCTATCCTTCCTCCTCTCCCGTCCTCTGTCCTTATGTCTTCTATCCTTCCTCCTCTCCCGTCCTCTATCCTTACCGCCTGCGTCCTCTGTCCCACTTTGTGTCTCTGAGGAGGAGATGGAGAATAGATGGAGCGGTCTCTCTTGAGGGTTTCTGTCAGTCAGCTGGAGTCGCGTGTGCGTGCGTGCGTGCGTGCGTGCGTGCGTAGAAGATGACGTGACCTCACAGGAGGAGAACATGCTGCAACATGCTTCATAAACAAAGTCTGAACCAAACAACCTAAGAGGAAGTCTTGCTGTGATCGTTCGATGTGCAGCTTTCTTCTCTCATTGGACGGTTTTCTGGCTCGTTTGTTTTTTCAGTTTGCATAAAGCGTGGTGTTTTTGGACTCCTGCATTGATTTTTGAATTTGTTGCCCTCGTTGCCATGGTGATTCCCTTTTAGTCCACTGGACAAATATCACTTCTTCACACATTCATATAACTGCTGCAGGTCAGTGGATTCTGTGGAGGAATACTGAACTCGTACTAGTGGTGGGCAATATAACGATCTTAGATCGTGAAGGATTTTAACGTGCTGACGATCTGCCAAAACAGAGAGATCGTCGACCCGGGCTAATGTGTTTATTTTATCATGCTGCAGTTTGTGCTCCGACACAGTCTCACCCTCTCTTTTGTTCTGAAGCGGTGAAAACAAAACTTAAAAGTAAAGTCCGCAAAAACAACTCCATCCCGGTTATATGCAACTGTTCTGATATTTTTCCAAACCCACACGGCGTGATGTTGGGGTTGTATCAAGTCAACTTTGGTTATATTCTTTAATAATTATATTTAATTATTAATAATATAAATAAAATATCATTAAACTATGTTTAATCTCGTTATGGGGCACCAACCTGTAATCAGGTAAATATAACCAAAATATCACTCAAATCAGTCTCAAATCAGTTATTTAATTACTAATATTATTAATAATGAATACTATATTTAATAAATTGAAGGCGTGAAATCCGTACACAAAGCCTTCGCACCCAGCTTATATCACAATGTAAACACAATTGTGTGCGTGCGTGCGTGGTGACAAAATGGTGGACAACAAAGGAAGCCGTGTGGCTGCCTTTTGAAATAGTTTGAGCTCTCTGAGCTGAGTTCAGTAACTGTTACTTAAACACCAGAAAGCCAGTGGCCGGACTTTGATTCAACGGCGGGTACACTGGTCTTTCTGTTTGAGAAAGCCGTTGACTGAAGGTAAACTAGCATAGCATTAAACACATAGGTGAACACAGCAGTTCATTACAATAAAACAAATGCAGTAGCTTACAACAGATAATAAACAGAATGTGACGTCAACAATGATGCATAATTATCAGTGGTTATAAAAGAAACATAACTATTTCTGAAACTATTTCTGCCCAGACCAAAGCTCTTACTTGGGGTAACTCCTGGTGATCGTTGCAAAGTTGGTTAGATCGTCACTCTGTTGAACGTTAAATCAACAGATTCAGGCAGGTTTCCTTCATGGCAGATGTAGGAGGACGGTAGCGGGATTCAGATCATCGACCAGAGCGCTGCTCTATAGGGTCTTCTGGTTGCAGGAGCTGAGTTCTTTATGTGTCCTTGTGGATTCAGGGATCAGTGGGCTTCCTTCAGCGCTCCTGTTCAGTTGCGTTCAATGACGTCTTTCAAAAAATCAAAGGAAAGAAACTCTTCTTTTTGCTCGAACCTGATAGCATCTGATTGCGCCCAAAACTCCTTAAAATATGGCGTGGAAGTAATCAGCTGAATCCTCTGATGCTTGAATTCAGCATGTGAAGAGCTACCTATACTGAACAACCTCAGCTCTGGAGTTTAACTTATGTAAGTCAAGAGGAGGAAAGGCTTTGTCTCGAATGCTGGAGTCCATCATATGGAGAGGGTATCCTCTGGTGTCGGCAGACCACACTTGAAGAGAAGGAAGCAATGCCTGGTGATTGCTTTTAAAGACTGGAGCTGCCTGTGGGTTTACCTCAGGCCTCCTCCAATGAGGATAGAGAATTCAGACACCCCCCCAACCCGACACTTTTCACACCTATTTGTTAGTTGCTGTTGGGGGGTGTTAGGCTAAAACTCCTTTGTTTAGGTGCCTCCAAAATAACTCTAGTCAGGCTTGAGAAGTGTGATACAGGCCTGAGTCCTTTGTTGCACACACATGGCTGAGGTCCAACAGTGATCAACAGTTCACTTATCTGTATAGTGTGCACAGTTAAGTTTACATCTCGGATAGCGACACAAGAAACCGTTTAACGAGCCGGAGAGACTTTCACAGTCAGAGTCAGACAGAAGAACTCTGCAGGGCTAAATAGAACAGAAACACAAGAACTTGAAGTCTACATGTTTTTAAATGAATGCATCACTGTGTGAAAATGTTCCTGATGAACATAAAAAGAAGACACATAACTAAATCATCATTTCAAAGTGGTGAGGAAAACCTTCAAATTGTTCATAAATATTGATCAAATTGAGGGAAAGACTTTTCTGTTGCTAAAGATGTTCTGGGTGAGAGACCTCCAGACCTCCTACAAAGATGTTTTTTCAAATAGATTAAACTTGTCTGCACAGTTTTTGTGCATTTAGAAACATTATACAGGGAAATAAGTTTGGTTGAACCGGTCAGTAACTTACAAATCTGTCTAAAGATCAGTATGAAAAAAATCATGATAAAATTGTGATCGTGATTTTACCCAAAAAAGTGATATGATATCGCCCCCCTCTAACTCATACACAGAAACGTCGTCGTGGTTGAAGAGACGAGCAGCTCATTGTTGTCATTCTTCCTAAATGTATTTAATTCTGATATAAACGATCCCGTCCCAACATTACACTCAAGTTATTTCTTTAGGGCTGCAGCTGAAATACATTTCAATATGAGTTGAACTGTCAGGATTTTTCTGGATTACCCGTCTTTTATAAAATGTTAGACCGTGTCCGATCATCACGTGAGCGTTAGATGACACATTGCATCATTCGCTGTCCGCACTGCATCACTTAAATATTTAATTCTCTGCTCTGAGAATTTCAGTTTATCCTTGTAAACATTATAACATGTGATGTGGTGCTTTTATTTTGAAGGTGGACAAACTGAAGTGTGGTGCTTTGATTTTGAAGGTGGACAAACTGAAGCCTCCTCTTCCTTGTTCCTTGCCCGTAAGTGGCAGAGAAGAACACAGAAATGGGGCGTCAGGGTTAAAACGGCGTGCTGCGTTGCTCACAGACAGTTAGGACACTCCGATAGTAAACTATAGAATCGACCTGATCTTATCGCTGACGCTTGTTTACATCTCATGCTGTTAGGACAGGAAGTTAGAAGAGGACAGAAACCAAAAGTTTGTTGTTTCTTTACATAAATATTGAAGATGCATCGTCCTTGTCTCTCTCTTTGATTGTGTCGCCTTCCCTCTCTCGACCCTCTCCTCCCAGAATGCATCAGACATGCCAGAGACCATCACCAGCCGGGACGCCGCGCGGTTCCCCATCATCGCCAGCTGTACTCTGTTTGGACTCTACCTCTTCTTTAAGGTGACGAGGGCTTTCCTCTGCCCGACTCCAGGGGCTCTCATGTAGAGATACTGAAATGCATTGTGGGAGACGGTGTCCTCAGTTGGACTTTGATCTCATGTCTTGTGCTGCAGGTGTTCTCTCAGGAGTACATCAACCTGCTGCTCTCCATCTACTTTTTCGGTCTTGGCGTCCTGGCTCTGTCGCACACGATGAGGTAACCACACCTGAGATCAGACGCACACTGTAGATCCGTTCAGATGTTCTGGTGTTGATGAACCTTCTCTTCTCTCTTTGTGTCTCTCAGCCCTCTCATGTCCAGAATCTTTCCAGCTTCTTTCTCAAACAAACAGTTCCAGCTGCTCTTCACTCAGGGCTCCGGAGAGTCCAAAGAAGGTGAGACCTGCTGCTCAGCCCCCCCACGCCGAGGACAAATCTCTCTTTCCCTCTCTCTCTGTGAGACCTGCACTCCTTACAGTCTTATTTTCCATATAACAAATATTTGGTGGCTGGGGGATTTTTTAAAAATCAGTCTTGGATATGTCAAAGATTATCCAGAATATTGACTTTGATGCATTGTTAGTTTTTGTGTAGCATCAGATTTAAAATGTAGTTCCCTGTTTGGACAGTGGA